AATATCTTTTTGCCTTTCAACTTTTCTGTATGCCTTCAACTTCCACTGGTTTTCCACTGGTTGCATCTCTGCTGCAGTCATTCTGCAAATATGCATTCTCACGGCTGTTTCGCTAGGAACAGCTATTTTTCTAGTCAGTGAGAATGCATCCAATGCATTCTCACTACTTGTGTTTCTGTTTCCCTTTATTATTATTATCAGTGAGAATGCATTCAATGCATTCTCACTACTTGTGTTTCTGTTTCCCTTTATCAGTGAGAATGCATTCAATGCATTCTCACTTATAGTTTTTCTGTTTTTCTTTATTATTATTATTCTGGCTTCCGTACGTTTTTCGTCCTTTAACTACTTCTACTATCTTTCACTAATTGTACTAATTCATATATCAAAACGTTCAGCTCCTTCTGGAGATTTATGCTATGACTTTTGGTAAACTTCACTATTGCACTTTTTGAAATAATTGCCCTTTTGTGTAAATTTATTGCCCCATTCATTCCTATGCTGGAATTCACTAACAGACGTCAGTTCATAAAGTAGACACTCTAGGAACTACCGTTTTTGAACTTTTTTCTGCTTTTTGACAAACAAAATGATGCTGTTCATACATATTTCACTGTAGAGAAATAATTTATGCATTAAAATGTAGNTCTGGTTCTGCGGTTTCGTGGCGGTCCGCGTCAGATGCCTGGGTTCCAGTTCTCGGCTCTACAGGTGGGTTCGCAACCGGTTCCGATAGAAATCAGGAGATCAGCACTTGGCTCCGAGTCATGCGTTATGGACCCGCATCACAGTTCGGCTGGTCATTTCCGGTTAGCCGCCTGCTATCGCCAGAGCTGCTTTACGGCAATCAGCTGATCTGACCGGAAGTGAAGGAGCGAGTTGCGTAGCAAGTCCTCAGACAGAGATCAGTGACTGACACCAGAATCGGTACCGATCAGTGGACGGACATGAGCAGCGCATGCGCAGAACAGAGGCTGGTGTTCAGCCCCGGGCTCGTGCAGCTGGTCCAGGTACAGTTTACCTGTAAAAAACAGCTGGAGGCGTGGCTCCGGGTCTGCAGGTGGGAACAGGTGGGAACAGGTGGGAGAGCTGGTTCGGGTGGGAACAGGTTGGTGCCAGGCAGGTCTCGACAGGTAGTAGAAACAGGTGCGAACTCAGGTATGCCAGCGAGGTGGTCCCGTATTAGGAGCCAGAACCGAGCGTCTCCATGGAGACCGAGTAGCGCTGTCATCAAAGTGAGGCCTCCATGTTGTTTATAAATGTGCACTAGTTCTGGTCCTGGTTCCCTCTGGTTCTGGATTCTTGCGGTTCTTTGGTGTTAATATTCAGTTCCTCTCGGTATTTCGGACCCTCCCTTCAGTTTGATACTGAACTTGCCGTTTCCATAGCAACAGGATACGCACCTTTCTAACCTGACTTTCCGCTCATCCCCAGGATGAGGTCCTGCCCCAGGGCCCGAGGGTTGTGGTTACGGGAGCGACGGGCCTTCTGGGCCGGGCCGTCTGCAGGGAGTTCCAGAACCATGGCTGGACGGTGAGCGGAACCGGCCTGCGACGGGCCCGGCCCCGCTTCCTGCGCTGTGACCTGACCGACGAGGACGCCGTGCGCCGACTGCTGCAGGAGACCAAGGTACCAGAACCCGACCCCATATGAAAACTTTGACCTCCTCTGCTCTGTGTGGGTCTAGATGCATCCTGTCGCTGCATGTGATTGGCTACAGCCGCTATGATGATTGGTTGACTGAACCGCCCCTTCCACCAATAGCAGACAACAGACTTCCTGAATGTTCGGACTAGACCAAACTGAGGCTCTTTAATGCTTGGACTAGACCAGACTGAGGTTGACTTTATTGATCTCAGAACAAATGAAATGTTTTCACTCGTCATCACCTTTGAGTTTAAGATCAGATTTAATTTCTGTAAATTTACTCAAATACTGATTCTAAAAAATATGAATGAATGAACATGGAAGATCTGAACATCCAGTAGAATCCAGATTCTTCGGGATCAGAGTTGGATCGGATCTTTCAGCACAACCTGACAACCCGCAGCATCCTCTCCATCAGTCCATCATACAGTGTCTTCAGTCAGAGGACTCTTTAGATTGGCTGTTACACAGAATGCTACAGCAGATCTCCCCCAATTAATAATACTTTTAAACTGGATTATCAATAATACTTTGGGATCAAATTATTATTGATCTCAATAACAACTTATTGGGATCAATAAGTTATGATTGAACTGAATTGTTCCCTCTCACTGTTAAGCCATTAAAGTAATGGCGGCTAATAACTAATTAATTTGCTGCATTAATTTGAATGTTCCTTAATTTTCAAAATGTTTGTAGCGTCTCTCTCCTTGGACAGCCAGACGGGGTCAAAGGTCAAGGGGGCAGCAGTGTCGCTTTCAGAGAGATTAATTTTCTGTAAATCAGACATTTTGTGGATTCACTTTTAGCAACAGAGAAACAACAGGAAGTACCATCGATGATGTCACTGATCCTCTGACATTATCAGTTTTAGTTTTAGTTTAGTAAAGAGAAATAAACTGGTCTGCTCAGGTTCTGGTGCTGATTGACTTCAGCCGGTGTCGTCATGGTAACCTGAGGATTTCTGTTTCAGCCCGATGTTCTGGTCCACTGCGCCGCAGAACGCCGTCCGGACGTCATGGAGAGAAACGCGGACGCGGCAGTCAGCCTGAACGTCCACGCCTCCAGCACCGTCTCCAGGGAGACAGGTAAGTGGTCACATGACGCCGCGGAACCAGACTTCAGGTTTAGACCACAGACTTTTATATGGGAGGGGGAGGTTAGAGGTCAGAGGTCAAGGCAGGGTCCACGCTGGAACTCAGCGGTGCATTATGGGAAAGTAGAAGCAATAAAAACCAAAAATCTATTTAATGGCTCCATGTTCCTTGGCAGAAAACTAAGAAAGGTTTTTGGTATAAATGTTATTTAGTTATTTTCTATTTACTTATTTGTATAGTTTTTGAAACGTTGGTCATAAAAAGCAGAATTTTGGCAATTTACTACTTTTACTGTTTCTAAAGATTAAATCAGGCGTTAGTGTTGGTCTTTTTATCTGCTGAGTCGCTTCTCTTACTTTTTAATTTCACCTCAGCAAAATGAAATCGACTCAGTTTGGTCTGACTCCAGGTTCATTGAACTCGTCTCTTTAAACGTTTTCCAGTTTAATTTTCATAACATGAATAGTTTTAATTACACAGAGTCTCTGCAGTTAGAGCAGCATGCTGCAGATCTAGAAAGAATGATCTATGATCTCACTGTAAAACTCGTTTGCTGTTTGGAAATGATTGAATGGATTCATGCATCATCTTTGCTTCTTCATATATAAAACAAAGTGGCATTTAAATAATGCGATGCAGTTTCACTGCATTTCTGTGTTATTTGCTTCAAATTTCACATAACTGGTGATGAATTGATAACATTTGTAAAGCATGTTAATATCTACTGTCTGCACAGGGATTTCTACAGAGAATTAAGACATTAGTGTCATTAATATCATCTAACGTTGGTTTTGTCTCCATTTTAAAATTTTGTGGCCTCCTGTTGCCCCCCCCATAGATCTGCCCCTGGTTCAGACCCAGACCCACTCTGGTTCTTTATGACCTGGTCCAATCAGGTCTGGTACCACAACCCAGTTGGTTCAGATAAATCTAGAAATCCAAAAAAAGGAAGTGTGTTTTTGCTCCAACAGCAAAACAAACATGCCACCTCTGGGAGGTGGAGTCTGTGACAGAAACCTTCTGGTTCTACAGAACCAGTCTGACTGGACACCCAGAGAACCAGGTCAGAACTTGTTCAGGTTCCGCTCCAAACTAGGGGATTGTGTTTTGGTTCTGATCACAAGGAAAATGGATTTTAACAATCCTGGCGTTCATGTGCCAGGAGGACCACGGTCATGTACGTTTCCTGTAACCTTTGACCTTTGACCCTTCTGACCACAGCCGCCTGCGGTGCCCTGCTCATCTACATCAGCACCGACTACGTGTTCGACGGCCGGAACCCTCCGTACGGCGAGGACGACTGTCCCAACCCACTCAACCTGTACGGGCGGAGCAAGCTGGAGGGAGAGAGGGAGGCGCTCAGACACTGTCCAGGTAAATGACTGGCAGACAACAGGTGGCCTGTGTTGTTGTCCAGGTGACTCACCTGTGGGGGCCAGCAGGTTTCGCTGACGGCTTAAAGTTACCCGATGATGTAGCATCATGACTACGTAGGCAGCTCAGGATGACCTCATGGTTCATTAGTTGACTGACCGCTCCCGTTTCAGGCGCGGTGATCCTGCGCGTTCCCGTCCTGTTCGGGGAGGTGGAGTCTGTGACGGAGAGCGCCGTGACGTCGCTATGGCAACAGGTCCAGGAGGCGACGGAGGAGCGGCGGGCGCTGGACCACTGCCTGCAGCGCTTCCCCACCGACGCTCGAAACGTCGCCGCCGTCTGCAGGAAGCTGGCTGAGAGAGCGAGACAGGTGGGAGTTCAGAGCGCCGCCGCTCCTACTACTGATGAAGAAGAAGAAGATGATGATGATGTCAGATCAGTTTGAACTGTGGGTGTGTGAAACCAGGTTCATCTAAATGAGTTTTGGCTGGCACATCCTCCAAAACGTGTAAGAAAACAGGAAATGACTCAGAATGATTTTGAGTGATGCTATATATTAAATATTACATATTAATGCTACACTCCAGGAATGCAGAGTGCAAAAGTATTTGCTCCCTTCCTGCTTTCTGATGTTTTGCATGTTTGGCGCTCTTCAGTGTTTTAGGACATCAAACCTGGTTAAATGTTGGTGTAAGATGAAAGCAGAGTAGAGCTATGATTGCTTTGTATTCCAGAAAGATCTCTGCTGTCAGAAATGATTCTGTTTCTTTATTATTTTTATTGGGACCTTCTCTGAAGAATCGCCGTCGTTCCAAGTATCGGCACCGTCTGAAAAATAAAGATCTGGGCCCTCATGTATAAAGCGTGCGTACACACTAAAAATGTGCAGTGCCTTATTTTACGCACAAGTCGGCATGTATAAAAATGGATTAGGCGTGAAAGTTTACGTAAATAAGCACAAACCTTTGACCTGCTGTGAAACTGTGCGACGGCCACGCAAACTTTTTCTGTGGATAATAACAAACTGCCAGGTGTCAAAATTCACCTAAATACACTGAAACTTGAAATCTGACTTCATTCAGTTATTTAGAAGCATCAAACTCAATGTTTATTATGACTTTAATATTTTATTGTTTAAACGTAAACAATGAAACTGAACCGCATTTATCC